TGGTCTAGTGGTTTTCCCCACTTTCTTCAATTTAAGTATGAATTTGGCAATAAGTAGTTCATAGTCTGAGCCACAGTTAGCTCCCAGTCTTGTTTTTGCTGACCAGAGCTTCTCCATCTTTGGCTGTAAAAATAATAATCAATCTGATTTTGGTATTGAGCAGCTGGTGATGTCCATGTGTAGAGTCTTCTCTTGTGTTATTGGAAGAGGGTGTTTGCTATGAAAGTGAAATAGGAGAGTGAAAAAGTTGGCTTAAAACTCAATATTCAGAAAACTAAGATCATGGCATCTGGTCCCATCGCTTCATGGCAAATAGATGGAGAAACAGTGGAAACAGTGACAGCCTTTATTTATTTATTTATTTTTGGAGGGGCTCCAAAATCACTTCAGATGGCTACTGCAGCCATGAAATTAAAAGATGCTTGTTCCTTGGAAGAAAAGTTATCACCAACCTAGACAGCATATTAAAAAGCAGAGACATTATTTGCCAACAAAGTTACGCCTAGTCAAAGCTATGGTTTTTCCAGTAGTTGTATATGGGTGTGAGAGTTGGACTATAAAGAAAGCTAAATGCCAAAGAATTGATGCTTTTGAACTGTGATGTTGGAGAAGACTCTTGAGAGTCCCTTGGATAGCAAACAACCAGTCCATCCTAAAGGCAATCAGTCCTGAATATTCATTGGAAGGGCTGCTGCTGAAGCTGAAACTAACATTTTGGCCACCTGATGTGAAAAAATGATTCACTAGAAAAGTCCCTGATGCTGGGAAAGATTGAAGGCCGGAAGAGAAGGGGACAACAGAGGATGAGATGGTTGGATGGTGTCACCAGCTCAATGGACATGAGTTTGAGTAAACTCTGAGAGTTGGTGATAGACAGGGAGGCCTGGTGTGCTGCAGTCCATGGGGTTGCAAAGAGTCAGATATGACTGAGTGACTGAGCTTAACTGAACCAACCTACCTGATAAAGAGAAATAAGTCCAGAGAATTAGGGAAAATGATGAGATAGAATATGTTCCAAATGGAGGAACAAGACAAAACCTCAGAAAAAGAACCAAGTGAAGATAAACAATCTACCTGATGCAGAGTTCATGATAATGGATATTAAATGCTCAATGAATCTGTGAGAACAGTGGATGAACATAGTGAAACAAAGAGTTAGAAAATATATAAAATTGCCAAATATAGCTAAAGAATACAATAGCTGAACAAAATACACTATGGGGAATCAACAGTAGATTGGATGATGCAAAGAAACAAAATTAGCAAACTGGAAGGCAGAGTAGTGGGAATCACCCAAGTGGAACAGAAAAATTTAAACAGTGAGGACAGTTTATGAGGCCTCTGGGATAGGGTCATACTAATATTTCCATAATGGGGGTCTCAAAAGGAGATGAGAGAGAGAGAGAAGGGAGCAGAAAATGTATTTGAAGAGATGAGTTAAAAACCTCCATATTCTGAGGGAAGAAACAAATACCCAGGTCTGGGAAGAACAGAGTCCCAAACAAGGTGAACCCAAAAAGGTGCATGCCAAAACCAGTTATAATTAGAATGGCAAAGATTAGAGCTAAGGAGAGAATCTTAAAAGCAGCAGGAGAAAAGAACTAGTTACTTACAAGGGAACTCCCATAAGATTATCAACTGATTTTACAGGGGAAAGTTTACAAGCAGGAAGGGAGTCACATAATATTTTCAAAGAAATGAAAGAGAAAACCTACATCCACAAATACTTTACCTGGCAAGGTTGTCATTCAGAATTGAAGGAGAGATAAAATATGTTACAAACAACCAACAGCTAAGAGTTTAGCACCACTAAAGAGGCTGCACATGCAATGTTTATGGGATTGCTCAATGCGGAAAATGAAAGACCAGAACTAGTAATATGAAAAAAAAAAAAGGAAAATTCTCATTGGTAAAATCAAATATACAGTAAGGTTAATAATCAAGTGTAAATCAAACATTTACAAAGCTAGTAGGATGATTAAAAGGCAAAATATTTAACTTACCTATATCCACAATTAGTTAAGAAACACTCAAAAATAAAATGTGGAAAATATGATTTCAAAACATTAAACATTAGGAGAGGGTGAGTAAAAATACAGGGTTTTTAGAATGTCTTTGAACATAGATCAAATATATATATACATACATATATATACATACATATATACACACACACACACACACACACACACACACACATATATACATACATATATACACACACACACACACACACACACACACACACATATATATATATATATATATATATATATACAGGAGACCTGTAATACAGGAGACCTGGGTTCGATCCCTGGGTTGGGAAGATCCCCTGGAGAAGAGAATAGCTATGCACTCCAGTATTTTGCCTGGAGAATTCCATGGCCAGAGGAGCCTGGTGGGCTATGGTCCATGGCATCACAAAGAGTCAGACATGACTGAGTGATTAGCACACACACATATACATTTTTGTAACATATATATTTTTATATTTTAGCATATATATTTTTGTAAATATGCTATGCATATAAATATATGTGAACATGTACATGTTTTTGTGAAAAACATAGTAACACAAACTAAAAACCTACAATAAATACATACATGTACACACACAAATAGAAATCATGACTCAAATAAACTCTACAGAAAGTCATAAAATCACAAGGAAGAGAGGAAAAGAAGGAACAAAAAAGAAAAAATAAGAATCACCGGAAAGCGATTAATTAAGTAGCAATACTAGCAATAATCTCTTTAAATTAAAACAGTCTCAATGCCCCAATCAAAAAATATAGTGACTGAATGGTTAAAAACAAGACCCATATATTTGCTCCCTACAAGAGGTGATCTTCAGATCTAAAGATACACACACTAATGTGAAGTAATGGAAAAAAGATATTTAATAAAAATGGAAAAAGGAAAAATGGCTGAAGTAGCAATACTTATATTAGACAAAGTAGATTTTAAAACAAAGCTCTAACAAGAGACAAGGAATATTACATAGTAAAAAACTGGTTGATCCAACAAGAAGATACATATAATTGTAATATATATACACTCAACATAGGAGCACCTAAATACAGAAAGTGGTTATTAATATATGTAAATGGAGAAGTTGACAGTAACAAAATGATAGAAGGAGGGTTCACCATATCACTTATATCAAGGAATGGATCATCCATGGTGGTAGTTTAGTCGCTAAGTCATGTCTGCTTTGTGACCCCATGGACTGTAGCCCACCAGTTTCCTCTGTCTATGAGATTTTCCAGGCAAAAATACTGGAGTGGGTTGCCATTTCCTTTTCCAAGGGATCTTCCCGACCCAGGAATCAAACCCAGGTCTCCTGCATTGCAGGCAGATTCTTTCCCAACTGAGCTACAAGGAAGCCCATCCATATAGATCATCTATATAGAAAATCAATATGAAAAATATTGACCTTAAAGGACACATTAGACTAGACTAGATATACTCTGTGTATGTCTCTGTGTGTGTGTGTGTGTGTGTGTGTGTGTGTGTAACCATTCCAACCAAAAGCAGCAGAATACAGTTTTTAAGTACATGGAACATTATCCATGGGAGAACACATGCAAGAACAAAAACAAATACCCATAAATTTGAGAAAATTGAAATTAAGCATATTTTCAGACAACAATGATATTATAGTATAGTTCAGCTACAAGAGAAAATAAAAACAAATAAAGGAAAATAGGGACAGAAGAAGTAAAATTGTCACTATTTGTAGATGGCAATGCTGTCTATAGAAAGTTCTAGAGAAATCACTGAAATCACATTAGAATTTATGCATGAATTCAGTAAAGTCGAAGGGTACAATGTTTCTACGTACTAACAACAAACTATCAGAAAGGTAAATTAAGAAATCAATCTCTTTTACAATTGCACCGAAAATTTAAAAAATACCTAAGAATACATCTAAACAGAGAGGTAAAAGGCCTATATTCAGAAAACTATAAGACATGGTGAATGAAATTGAAGATGACACAAACAAATGGACGTATATACTGTGTTCATGGGTTGGAAGAATTAATGTCATTAAAATGGCCAATTATAAATGGACAAATCAAATTAATAATGTTCTCACTGAGAAAATAAGGGGTAAAATATTTATCAAGAAATATAAAAAATATATAAGAAAAAAGCCTTCCTGAAATCAATTAAAAAATTCAGTATACGGATACTAAATTTTTAGATTTGCTTAAAGTTTCTTATCCAGATTTCAATCATTGTAGATTTGATCTCTAAATTCTAAGTGATTTCAATAAAATTGTTAATAAAAATTATTGCAATTGTTTATTTAAATAAATAGACAAAGCTTTCAAGAAGAAAACAAAGAACAAGAATGCTGTTATAAATAATTTAAAAATTTATTATAATAGCTAATGTTAATGAAAGATATTAATAATAGGAGCATTGGGTGAGGGTATATGAGGTATAAAATAACTACAAACATAAAATAATTTCCAAAGAAGTATATTTGAAAATGTGTTATAATTTTTCAGTAATCTAAATGAACAAGTGCTGAAATAGAAATGCTCTTGTGAAAAAAAAAAATGTAATAAATTCTAGAATACTGAGTGAATGATTGCATAATAAATGTGCCAGCTAAAGAAATAGAATATGTTGTAAATGTGTTGAGCAATTAATAATTTTTAATTAATTGGAGAAATAGTCTAATAATCACTCTGTTAGCATATCAAATTAACTTCAAAGTAATTAAAATCTAATATAGAAATGAGGCCATATAAATAACATAATCAATTGTATCTAAATTCTTATTAGGTTTTGGAATGTTAAAGAATTTTCTAAGGAGAAAATTATTGATGGAGACAAAAAAGATGCAACATTTTCTAAAGCATTTTGTCACTTTTTGTGAAAGTTTTAATAATCTTATTTGTCCAAAATTATTTTAATTTTACAATTCATTCTAATTCATACTGGTGAAATAACTAAGCATTTTAAAGCAGTGCGATAGGCAGCTGCTCTTCCCGCCGCCACTGGAGGATCATCTACCCTTTGGTACAGATCAAAAAGCAATAGTAATTGGACGAAGAAGAATGGCATTGAAACAGGTTTCCAGCAGCAAGTGCTTTGGGGACTGCGGAAAGTTTTTGAACATGACAGTGTTGAATTGAAGTGCAAAATGAAATTTGCTGTCTATTTACCACCAAAGGCAGAAACTGGAAAATGCCCTGTGCTATGTTGGCTGTCTGGTTTAACTTGCACAGAACAAAATTTTATATCAAAATCTGGTTATCATCAAGCTACTTCAGAACATGGCCTTGTCATTGCTCCAGATAGCAGCCCTCGTGGCTGCAATATTAAAGGAGAAGAAGACAGCTGGGGCTTTGGCACTGGTGCTGGGTTTTCTGTCAATGATACTGAAGATCTTTGGAAAACTAATGATAGAATGTACTCTTACCTAGGGAAGGAGCTTCCCCATCTCGTAAATGACAATTTTCCAGTGGACCCCCAAAAGATGTCTATTTTTGGCCACTCAACGGGAGGCCATGGAGCTCTGATTTGTGCTTTGAAGAATCCTGGAAAATACAAATCTGTGTCAGCATTTGCTCCACTTTGCAACCCAGTGCTCTGTCATTGGGGCAAAAAAGTTTTTATTGGATATTTGGGAACAGATCAAATTAAATGGGAGGCTTATGATGCTACCTATCTTGTGAAGTCCTATCCAGGTTCTCAGCTGGATATACTAATTGATCAAGGGAAAGATGATGAGTTCCTTTCAGATGGACAGTTACTTCCTGATAACTTCATAGCTGCCTGTACAGAAAAGAAAATCCCTGTTGGTTTCAGATTATAAGAGGGTTGTGATCATAGCTACTACTTTATTGCAACCTTTATTGCTGATCACATCAGACATCATGCAAAATACCTGAATGTATGAAAAACTTCAGATAAGAGAATCTCTTCAGGATTATAAAATTGTAATAAACAGAATCGCAAGGAAATAAAATTTTTAAAGCTTTGGATTTCATAATGCTAAAAATACTTCATTCTGTAGTTGAATCGCCCTCTGAATAAACATATCAAACCTGAAAAAAAAATAGACAAGTAACTCATGAAACAACAGACTACTATACTACCATCAAATTAATAGTCTAAAAATGTGTTTTGTAACAAAGCACATATACAAAATTTGTGTGCATATACATATGTGTGTAATAACTGGCTTCCCTGGTGGCTCAGTGGTAAAGAATCTGCCTGTGATGCAGGAGTTGCAGGATACAAGTGTTTGATCCCTGGGTTGGCAATATTCCCTGGAGGAGGGCATGGCATCCCACTACAGTATTCTTGCCTGGAGAATCCCTTGGACAGAGGAGACTGGTGGGTTACAGTCCATAGGATTGCAGAATTGAGCATGACTGAAGCAACTTAGGATACTTGCATGTACTACATAACATCAACAAATATTTTGATTGATAAATTATATAATGTAAAGCTTGTTCTTTATTTTGTATTGGAGAAGGAAATGGCAACCCACTCCAGCATTCTTGCCTGGAGAATCCCATGGATGGAGGAGCCTTGTGGGCTACAGTCCATGGGGTTGCAGAGTCAGACACGATTGAGTGACTTCACTTTCTTTCTTTATTTTGTATGACACCTTCTTAGGTAAAACACATTTCATTTTGTATAATTTATATGCATATAAGGGCTACCTTGATGGCTCAGATGGTAAAGAATTCTCCTGCAATGCAGGGGATCTAGGTCCAATCCCAGGGTTGGGAAGATCCCTTGGAGGAGGGCATGGCAACCCACTCCAGAATTCTGGTCTGGAGAACTCCATGGACAGAGGAGACTGGCAGGCTATAGTCAGTGGGGTTGCAAAGAGTCGGACATGACTAAGCGACTAGGAACAGCACACCATATGTGTATGGATGCATATATATGCATAGAAATTCATATACATATTATGTATATATATTAATATTTGTATACATTAATATAAAAGTTCTCCTCTTTACTTTCTGAGTGTCTATCAGATTAACTTTTAGAATTCCTTTGTGGCAACTTTGGCTTTTTCTAGCATATACCTTAAAACTTTTCCAGTCTATACCCAATAATCAGGTCCAAAACTACTTCCACATTTTTGGGTATGTATTTGTTATAGTAGGGCTTCCCTGATAGTTCAGTTGGTAAAGAATCTGCCTGCAATGAAGGTGACCCTGGTTCAATTCCTGGGTCAGGAAATAGTAATACTTGACTCTTGGTAACAAAATGTGTATGGTTGTAGTTCTCCAGAGAAATAGACCTACAAGTCTGTGTGTGTTAATTGCTCAGTTATGTCCAGCTCTTTGTGGCCCCATGGACCATAGCTCGCCAGGTCCCTCCTCTGTCCATGGAATTACCTAGGCAAGAATACTGGAGTGGGTTGCCATTTCCTTCTTCACTGCAAGTCTCTACATATATCCATTTCTGACTATACAGTTTTACCTTTCCTGTCTGTCTATGTATGTACAAGTTAGAGAAAGAGAGATTTGGGGAACTAACTCACCTGACTATAGAGGCTGAGAAGGCCCACCATCTCCCATTAGTAAACAGGAGACCTTCAAAGGCTGGTGGGCATAGTTCCAGTCTGAGTCTGAAGGGCTAAGATCCAAAGGTGCAAGTTCCTTTCTGAGAGCAGGAGACTGATGTTGCAGCTCAAGCTCTCAGAGTGCGCTAAGTTGCTTCAGTCCTGTCTTACTCTTTGTGACCCCATAGAATGTAGCCCACCAGGCTCCTCTGTCCATGGGATTCTCCAGGCAAGAATACTGCAGTGGGTTGCCATTCCCTCCTCCAGGAGATCTCCCTGACCCAGGGATTGAACCTGTGTCTCATAGGTCTCCTGCACTGGCAGGTGGGTCCTTTACCGCTAGCACCCCCCGGGAAGCCCTAGCTATTAGACTGCTCTTGCGGTTCAGTCGCCCAGTCATGTCCGACTCTTTGCAACTCCATGGATTGCAGCACCCCAGGCCTGTCCATCCCTCAGCATCTCCTGGAGATTGCCCAGGTTCATGTTCATTGCATCAGTGAGGCTGTCCAGCATCAGATAGAAAGTGTGAGTTCTTCCTTCCTCTGTTTTGTATTCTGTTTAAGGCTTTGGTGATTGAATGATGCCCATATCTTTCCATATGATTCCAATGATGCCATATCATGGAGAGTCCATCTGTTCACTTAGCCTACCCACTCCAGTGCTAATCTCTTCTGGAAACACTCTCACAGACACATCCAGAAATAATGTTTAACCAGATATGTGGGTATCTCATCAGCAAGTGAAGTTGACATATAAAATTAATCATCACATAAGAGAATTTGGACTTCCCTGATGGCTCAGATGGTAAAGAATCCAATTGCAATACAGGAGGCCCTGGTTCAATTCCAGGGTCAGAAAGATCCCCTGCAGAAGGGAAAAGCTACTGACTCCAGTATTCTTGGGCTTCCATGGTGGCTCAGATGGTAAAGAATCCGCCTACAATGCTGGAGACCTGGGTTTGATCCCTGGGTTGGGAAGATCCCTTGGAGGAAGGCATGGCAACCCACTCCAGTATTCTTGCCTGGAGAATCCCCATGAACAGAGGAGCCTGGCAGGCTACAGTCCATGGAGTCAAAAAGAATCGGACACCACTGAGCAGCTAAGCCCAGTACAGATGAGAATTTAATACAATTCATTTTATTATACTTATTTGTAACCATGACTTTGCCCATAGTTTGTGTGATTTTAAGAATCAAGCATATGTTGTGTTTCTACCTTGATTCATATCTCCAAACCTTATCCTTTTCAACTTAACTATGCAGGTAATCTATGTAGAGTTTGTTTAATTGTTATTAAATATTGTTTGAATAAAGCTGAACATTTGGGATCTAAGTAGAATTATTGACACATCCCTGTCCAGTTTGAACCTTGTGTATCTTCCCAATCTTTATTTGTTTGTTACCTCTTGCAATTCATAAGAAAAAACACTTTTGAAGCCAAAATGTGGGTACATTTCTGTTATGTGTTTCTCCTTAATTTCAGGAAATTATTTTCCAATTTTAATCATTTTTATTTGGCTTTGTAACCATTTCATTATAATGTTGGAAAAGTACCTCAAAGATATGCTCTCAATACTATGTGCCTGTTCCACATATGCCATATTTGTAAGGATTCTAAGAACAATAATTTTCTTAGTACATTAATTGTAGTATGGCACAAACATTTCTACTGTTAGCTGAGGACCAAAAATATTTTGATGGCCACATGGACACCACCTAAACACATCATATCCCCTCACATCATTCCTTATTCACCCTCTAGATAGTCCTTCCTTATCCATTCCTTATTCCTTATCCTTTTTCTCTTGTTACCTTATATGCCTTGTCTCTGTAGTTCTGAAAGTTTGAAATCAGGACATTTTTCAAATTCTTTTGGACTATTGCTGAATATGCTGAAAGAAAGATATGTATTAGTGATACATACTGGAATATTAGAGATTATCCATGGTGTCCATATAATTATTTACTGAGTTATTGTTTACTTACATCTAGAAAATGTGCTCTTTTTTAGCTTGTTTTAGTTTAGATTGAATATTTTTCGCAGCTCTAGTTACAAAGCAAACTTTATTATCGCACTTTGAAATCAATCATTTAACACCTGTTTCAAAAGTAAATAAATGTTAATTGACAGTTTTATTATCATTCAAAACACCTTCTTGCTAATTAATGCTGGGTGAGATTCTCAGTCATCATTTAGTTCTAACCTGAGTGTCAAGAGACTTAAAATATGAGATTTCTGTAATTAATAACACAGAGTGCTATGCCTCCATTGATGATGTTTATTTATGTTGATGTGCTATGGTTTTATATAAAGTTATAAAACATCTCAACATATTTAGCACTCTTTTCATCCAGTGCAACAAGAAAATGTTTCTTCCATTTCCTTTTCTTGAGAAATTCCATTTCAATGGGATAATTACACACTCATCTGGTTTTCAGTGATGAGAAAAATACTCATGTTGGCAGATGGTATCATTGGTGATTGAGAAAAGAATATCATAGAAACATTCCATTATGGTTGGGTTCACTAATAGTTGGTCAATGGATCCAAAAATCTGTGGAATCTGAACTCCTAGTAAAGGGAAAATGAGTTCCAAGTTCAGGTAATTCACCATTATTTTTTATTTGAAAATCTGTGGCAATAATTTACATATGCAAGCAATAATATGGCTTATATTCTTTTATATAATTTTACCTATAGAGATTATTAGACTATTTTAAATCTCTTAAATAATCATTATTTTTATATTTCTAAAAATGTGGTTCTGAATTGTCTTTTCTTTCTCAAATTCAAGTTAACTTAAAAGAAAATAACATTTTTCTAGTACTTCATATCTTTCCAGCTCTTCCACGTATACTATCTCATTTAATTCTCAGGGAATTACTGAGAGTAATTGCTAACCTCATGCAACAAAATGGGCAAACAAAATTCTCTCAAGGTCTCATAGCTAGCAAATTGCAAAGGTCACTTTTACGTTTGATTAACTCACACATACTTCTGATTGAACAGCTATAAATCAGGGATTCCCAGGAGTCCACCCTCAAATTTGATAGTTTGCTAAAATATCTCATAGAACTCAGGAAAATGCTTTGTTACTGTTTCCAATTTATTTAGAAACATACAACACAGGAAGAGCCAAATGGAAAAGATGAATAGAGTAGCATATGGTGAGATGGTGTCGAACTTCCATGCCCTCCAGGGTACCACTCCGCTAGCCCATACACCTTAAGAACTCTGAACCTTGTCCTTATCCTGAAGCTATTGAGGGGCCACAAAAATTGCCTCATAAAACAAAAGATGCTCCTTTCATCCTTATCACTCAGCAAATTTCAAAGGTTTTAGGACCCCTGTGCTAGCAATGAGGGTAAAGATCAAGTATCTTTCTCATTATACCACAGTAGAGGACACTTGTATTAGTAGCC